CCACGAGGGGGCGCTGTGCTGCGGGGCGCGGCCGGGGACGAAGGGATGGTCCACGGGGATGGGGAGTCCCTGTTCTACGCTCATCCTGTGCTAGCCTGCCATCTTTCCCAAACAAACCCGAACTCTGCATCACACAAAAACAGAACCCAGCAGCGTGAAGTAGAAGGGAAGCCCACAGAGAAACTGGGTTCTGTTTACTAAGGGAGCAGAGCCCACGCCCCCAGACGCCTACGCGTACTTAGGACAAGGCAGCTACTAAAAGCAAAACGCCCAGAAAGAGCAAACAGAGAAACGGAAAGTGGGTTCATGTTGCCTCGGGCTGGGGGTGAGGATGGGGTGACTGCCCACGGCCACGAGACGCGAATGCTTTAGGGCTGAAGTGTGCTGATGGTGTGTAACTCTGTGAATATCCTAAAACTCACTGAACTGTGCACTTAAAATGGGTGAGCTTTACGTTATGTAAATTACCTCTCAATAAAGCTGGTTTTTAAAAAAGTGATACTCCGGAGCGCATGGCTTTGCCCCACGCAGGAGACGGATGTAGTTTCCAGAGAATCTGGGTGCGGGAACTGCGGGGCACACTTTCATCCAGAACTCCTCAGGCTTCTAACCCCCACCCCCACCCCAGCCACTTTGGTTCAGAGAAACGAGGCCAAGACTATGAGCTCAACACAATGTAAGTCCACTTTCTAGCTGAGATTTCAGCCATCACTTCCCTTGACTCGTGCTGGGGTTGCTAAGCCCTTACCAGGAAAGACTCTGGGGGTGGTTCTGTCCAAACCCAACTCGTTTACAGAAATAATGTAACTATGGCTTAGCTGGTTTCCTAAAATGAAGAGAAGCAAGTCTAACTTATCTCCCTCTCCTTCCCTTGTCTCTGGAAGAGGGTCAGCCATCTGCTTCGGTGTGAGACCTTGAACAGAGGACGGCAGAGCACCGAGCAGCTGAGGGGACATTTCCTGCATCCGCCTCTCCCACGCCCGCCAGGCAGCTTGCCCCGTTCTGACACGTCAGCAAAGATCCTTGATTTTTTTTTTAACTTTCAGAAATGATTCTGAATCTCTTCCCTCCCAAATGGTTGCTAAAATCCATAAGTGAAAGTTACTGCTAGGAACTGTGGGGCAGACATGGTCTTCAGTCCCCTGCCGGGCATCCAGGCTCACACAGGAAGGACTCCTGAGAAGACTGGGCTCGGGCACACGAGCCTTGCATCTTCCTCAGGAGGGGCCAGCAGGTGTGGACACGTGCGAGTGGTTTAGCGACCACTGGCATGCTGGTGTGTGCTGTTCCCCCGAGCAGTGTCCCCCTCCCCCAGAGTGACTGGCAAAATCGCGCCCCAAGTCTGTGTTGCAGGGGCTCCACCAGTCAGGCTCTGTGATGGGGGAACCACAGCTCTCGAGGGTGTCCCCATCCTAACCCCCAAACCTGTGCCTCCGTTGCCTCTCACGGCAAAGGGGGTTGCACAGATGTGACTAAGGTCAGGGCCCTCGCAGTGAGGTGACTGTCCAGGTGGGTCCAGTCTAGGTACTGGACAGCCTCTCCTGGCTGCGAGGAACCAGAGGGAGGGCCTCACGAGAAGGACCCGACCAGCTACTGTGGGCTCTGAACCCAGATGTGGGGCCAGGAGCCAAGGAACGCGGGCAGCCTTTAGCAGCTGGAAAAAGCGGGGAGTGGGGTCTCTCCCAGAGCCTCTAAGAAAGAAGCCCAGCCCTGCTCGCACCTTGACCCCAGCCGGCCGTGAACCACAGGACGGTGCGAGAACCACGGGGGCCACCCAGTGCCCGGCAGCTGTTGGATCAGCCCTGGAGAGGGAAAACGGGGTCTCAGCAGGAAATGGACAACCCCCTCAAGCGGAGGAATTCAAGGAGGTTTTAATAAAGGGATGATTTAGAAAAGGTGGGCAAGCCGGGGGGAGAGCCGGGGGCTACTAACAGCGGGGAGCCGGTGGGGGGGTCCTTGGTCTGGAACCCAGGGAGAAGGACGCAGTGTTCCAGAGGGGGCTGACCTTGGCAGCCTGCAGAGACCAGGCAGGGTCTCAGGGGCAGAGCGCGTGCTCAGCATGCACGGGGTCCCAGGTTCCATCCCCAGTACTTCCTCCAAAAATAAATAAATGAATAAACCTAATTACCTCTTCCTCTCAAATGAATAAAATTAAGTAAAATAATAATAATAATAAATAAATTACCCCCCCTTCCAAAAACAAACACACAAAAAGAACAAACAAAAAATGTAAAGAAATTTTTTTAAGTAATAAAAGGCCCCCACCGCACCACACTCTCCCTCTGATCTCCAGCTGGCACCCCCTCCCCACTGGGAGGCTCAGCCGGGAGCCAGAGGGCAAGGCGGTCCCCAGTGCCCCCCATGAGGGTGGTCTCCCAGGCTGGATGAGAAATGTAGGAGTTTCGGCAAGAGACTCAAGGAGGGGGGTCATGGGAAGAGAGTCATGCACGGGCTGGTCCCTCTCCCATCCCAACTAACATGTGACAGGACAATACAGCCTGTCTAGCCCCAAACAGAACAGGTGTGGAAAACTGACTTTTTAAAGAAAAAAGCTTTAATCTCATCACATGCTGACTGCAGTCTTAGAAAGTTTAACCTGCGCCTTGATAAACCTCCCCGCGCAGCCACGAAACAGGGCCAACAGCTGCGAAATCTGGAGTTTCCCCTAAATGTGCTTGTTTCCTTTTAATGAGCGCTCCAGCAGGGAGGGAAGTGCCCACAATAAGTAAAGAAGGGGTGGAAAACACCAAGCAGCGCCAGCAGCCGGCCCCGGCCCTCCCGCTCCAGGCGCCCCTTGCCGGCCTGCCGCCACCCGGGAAACGTGGCTGCAGCGCTGGACGCTGGTCACTCCCCTGCCTTCTGTCCCGAGGCCTGAGTGTGACCGGGAGGCCAGGCGGCACATGTGCGCGAGACGTAAGACATCCCAGCCTGCAAACAGTTTAACCCTCATAGACTGTTCACAGAAGTCCATGTTTAATCTCCCTACCAAATCGCTGACGAGGGACACAGAAACCCGGTCAAGTCCGTGTGTTTTTATAAAGAAGTGACATGGACCACATCACTGTATCTTCCCAACCTATTTCAGTGCAGATTTCCGGGAAACAAAAGTCCTTGTAATTAAAATATTGGGATTAGAGTCTCTTGTAGTTCAGAATAGCTCACTCTGAAGACCTTTAAGCTCAAGTATTTGCTTTAAAAAAACAAACAAACAAAAACTACACCCTTTCTCAACTCTGCCAAAAACCCCCAAAATAACCAAAAACACACCCACAAACCCCACAGGTAAACCCCTGGCGTGGGGTTCCCGGGGTCACTGACAACTTCTCTGTTACTGTCCCCAGGCAGTGTGTCCTTAAGAAAAACTTAAGATGATGATTAAGCAAATTCTGAACACACAGGAAACTGCACTTCATGCTAATGCCAGCTACTGCCAGCTTTTAGAGAGGCATTTCCAGAACTTGAAAGTGGTCCCTCTGGGCTCCCCTGCCACACTGTCCCCTAGCTGTCCCTGGAGTCCCAGCCAGCTGTTTCAGCTGACCACCGTACACAGGACACCACAGAGCAAAGCCACAGGCACGAGGAGTCTGCTGTGAGTCACTCTTGGTCCTTACCTGTCACTCGGTCCAAGATGTCCTTACTCACAAAAAAGTTCCCTTAAAGAGACAAGAATGTCGGGGGCTGCGGGGGTGAGTGGGGGGGACAGGACCCCCCGCCTCTCTCCTGGAGCAGCCCTGTCACCTGAAAACCCCATCAACACAGGGCCACCGCCTCCCTGCTCAGAGGTGTCACCGCTGTGGGCCTGTGAGCACCGAGCGGCTCAGGTCAAAACGCCGCAGGACGGTCCACACCCAGGGTGGTAGGGGGAGGCTCGGGGCCACCACAGGCTTGGTCTCCAACCTAAAAGCTCAGTGAACCTGGGGTTTCACTTAAACTGTGCTTCCGGTTTTGCACTGTAAAACAGGGGTAGCAGCAGTACCGACCTAATGGGGCGCTGAGGACGGGCCGTGTCGGTGCCCGGACAGGCTGAGCCGAGCGCCCGGCGACAGTAAGCGGTCAGTTAAGTGTGGGCCACTAATATTGTCACTGTTACTGTGGCCAAGACTGTCCTGGCTCCCCGGCCACCCTGCATCTCCATCTGACCAGCCTCTCACTTCACCCCAACTGCACACCTGGCCCCCGCACCCGCCCAAGTAACACATATCCATTGTCGCCTCTGGTCACCTCCCCTCCTTTGCCTGCACTGTCCATCTGTCACCCAAATGCTGCCCACTTTTCAAGGTCCCGCTCCCTGTGGACCCGCAGGGGCATCTTCCGGCCAGGCCGACGACAAGGGTGTTCCTCTCTAAAATCTGGGCCGCGTCAGCACAGCCCTACTCGTTCAGTTCTTGAGGGGAAGGGTCTCGGCTCCCCTCTCCCCATCACTCGATGCCTCCTGTTCATCCACCCGCTTGGGGTCCAGGCCATGGAGCCCTGAAACTACGTCCTCAGGCTCTTCCTAAGTGAACCCTGACTGGCGGGGGCGGCGGGGCTGGGGCTGCGAGCCGGTTCTGCTGGACTCCAGTTGCTGGGGAACTGCAGTGAATTTCAGCCCCACTCCAGCAGGGTCTGCGTGAGCACTGGCCGAGGCTCTCGCTCCGTGTTCTGCGGGGCGGGGGCAGCCCGGGCGCCTGCTGCGGCACCACACGGGGCAGAGGGAAGGCTGGGGCGCGGGAAGCTCGCGCTGACCGCGCCATCGGGCTGCAGAGGCCCGCGGGGGTCCCGGCCTCGCGCGGCGGGCTGGGTGGTACTCACCAGTCAGCAATGCATCCAGTTACCAGGTAGCCCAAGATTAATCCAACCAGTAAGGAGAACTTAGCGACGTGGACCCTCCAGGCGCTATCACACACAAGGTCCCACTAGAGGGGGCAAACAGAAAACAGGTCAGACAGGAGCACACGCAGGCCAGTTGTCAGCCACGCGGCGGCACGGGACCATGGTCGGGGTCGCGACACCGCCTGAGCGCCTGCGGCTGTCACACGTGCGTACCACTCAGGGTCGCTTCAGTGTTTCTGAAAATCCCATAACGAGAAATACAATTTGGCTTGGGATTTGCAGATACACACTACTAAAAATAAAACAAATGACAAGGGCCTACTGCACAGCACAGGGAACTATATTCAATAGCTTATAATAACCTAGAATGCAAAAGAATCTGAAAAATAATGTGTATATGCATAATGGAATCACTTTGCTGGACACCTGAACCTACCACAACACTGTAAATCAACTACATTTCAATAAAAAACAAAGGAACACAAAAGAAGTATAGTTTGCCTACAGAAGGCAGTGTAAGACTTTAGTCCAGGACAAATGATAAATTCTGCAGGGTATGACGGCCCCGTGAAATCTGGGGATGGTGTTCCTTCTGTCCCTGACACCACAGGGAAGGTGGCCGGCGGAAGAGGGAGGCCGGGCACCCCCGGTCACTGGCAGGGCTGTCACACGGCCCTGCAGATAGGAAGCCCCTGCCAGCTTTTTGCACAGGATTATCATAACATGATGATATTAAAAGTAACCTTTGTGTTTCCATCCCTCAAAACTCCCCAAACTTCCTAAGTCATCTCAAAAATAAAAAGTAAATGTTGAAATAGCAACTTTGAGCATTCTTATTTTTCCCTTGTAAGCGTCCCTGGTGTTTTCCAACAATCCACAGTAAAGGTACGCGCTCCACTTGGAGAGAAAGCCAATCAATGGGCGAATGTAGTTAGATTATTCTTACAACTAAGTTTTATTATTTAAAAAAATAAATTAAAACAACCCTTAATTTTCCTTCCTCCTTTTATAGAAGCGAGAGAGAAGTGCTTTGTCTATCCCCTCGAAGTGACGCCTGTCCAGGTGGAGCACGTGGGAGGACGCAGCACTCAGTCCACGAACGCCGACGTCCGGCCCAAGGGGCGGACCGCGGGGGTCTCCACTGGTGACGCTGTGAAGACGGCAGCCCCCTCCCCGCCCCGCCATCACCCCAGCAGTGGTACTGACGCCTCCTCCAGTGGAAGGAAGTGGCTGAGGCCCCAGTGCTGGACTTGGACTCCAGTCAGTGGAGCTGGAAAGGCTGGAGGAGGGAAAGAGACGCCTGAGGTGAGGACACTGAGATGTCAGCACGGAGCGCAGGAGGCAGAGGCAGGGGTCGCGGGCCAGGCGTGCGGTGGCCTGGGCTGAGACCTGGTCTTCATCTGTTCTCCTCCATCCTTCCCCACAGTCGGGCCAACTCGAGACCTGGAGCACAGCCCACCCTTGGACAACAGGGTGGGTCTGAATGGCCCAGGTCCACGTCTACACAGACTTTTTTCAATGGTAAACACTCAGTACGACTCAGTCTGAGGTTGGTGAATCTGCAGACACGGTGGAGCTGCAGGTACAGGGTGGACCATAGATTATACGTGGATTTTCCAGTTCCCATAGGGACGGGTGCCTGTGCCCCTGCGTTGCTCGGGGGTCTCCCGTATAGTGTAGGAGGTCCTCTAGGTCATTGTCGGCTCAGCTCCTGCCCCGCTTCCTCCCTCCCGGAGAGCCTGCGGCCGGCCCCAGCTTTGGGAAGAGCCAAGCTCTGCATCAGTCACCGCAGAGTGAGGCGCTGGTCCAGACGGAGCAGGAAGCCAGCCACCTGCCACCTTGTCCTCTGGACCCCTTAGGACACACACTTGCTCACGGGTGCCCCCAAGGCACGCTC